TTTGGAGTGTGGGAGAAAACTGGAGCACCCGGAGGAAACCCATGCAGTCACAGGGAGAACATGCAAATTCCAGGCAGGTGGTGCCAGGGTTAGAATTCGAACCAGTGACCCTAGTACTGCCAGGCGGAAGTGACAACCATTTAGCCACTGTGCTGCCCCACTTTTAACTGTTTCCCAAAACAGGTATGCCTTGAAAGATAACTCTCACAGTTGCTGGTGCTCTCAATTGAACAGTTAAAAGAGAAATGTGACCAAAGCTTTGTTGGCCATACTTTTCATGTGGATCGCAGGAGTGCACTTAGTTCTGCACTTCATTTATTATATTGAAGCTTACCAATTCTTAGATGTGATGGCTGTATTTGTTTTCCTTTTTAGGCTTTCTTTCCTTTATTTGCACCTGGTGATCCTGCCAGTAAATCTGTTGTTTTTCAACAGAACAAGTTCTCCTATTTATTTATGATAAACTTTTATCACACAAATGAAAAAAAAACACATTGCTGTTAGTGCTTGTGTGAAGTGTGAGCTGGAGTTTGGACTCAATTTGTTAGTGAATCTAATCTGCTAGTACATCTAACACTCCCCCTCCCAGACTGATAATGCTGCTGTCCAAATGCATTAGTGGGGATACACTAATACAGGAAGTGTGTTACTGGCCAGATCACCAGGTGAAAAAAGAGGGAAGATTCATGGCTCTATTTTCTATATATCTGCCATATGCAACCTGTGTAGATCTTTAGGCTGGCCATACATTATACAATTTTCTTGAGATTTTTCATTTAAATTTACCAAAAACCATATATCGGAAGTCAAATCTAACAACACTTTCAATTGTATCCAGTTAGGCAGGCTCTTGCACTACAAGGTTAAAGGTAAATTTAAAGGAAATTGGACAGAAATTGGACAAAAAATTGTATAGTGTATGGCCAGCCTTATTCTTATCCCCTTTTCTCCTCCATGGTGCTGGCATCTCAACTGTGGGCACCAGACTGACAGCTTGCGGCTTCACAGCCTGGTGCCCACTGCGCATGTGCGAGTCATGCTGCTCCTCCTAATTGGTCCGGCAGTCTTCTGGGACCTGTGAAATTTCCCTGAAGATTTTGAGAGGGAGGAGGGGGCTAAATGTCTGGCTCACCTCACTGCGACAAACTGCGCGGAATTAGGAGTGGGTACCTGTCAAAAACAGGTATCCGCTCCCCCCCCCCCCCAAAAGGTGCCAAATATGGCATATTTTAAAAAAGCAGCAAATAGCTTTGTGTATCCCGAACTCAATGACTGATAGAGAGAGATGATGACATAGATGGTTCAAGCATGGGAAACTGTAAAATTGTTTCTATATCTTATAAAGAATATAGATCCGTAAAGCTATGATTTGAAGTCCGATATCTCCATAATGTTCCAGCCTGGGTTGCCATATGTTTAAGGCTGGCTTTCTGAGCAATAATTCTTTTAGACTTCACAAATTAGTTGACTTTCCTAATAATTGTTTAATTTGATAAGGTGGTTGTTTGCTCTTGTTTGCTGCTACAGTAAGTGGGTCTTGGTAGCCATTGCTTTGTCTGGACCAGCCCGTGAGTCATGAATATCTTTCCTGGGGTTTGTTACCATACAGAATGATTGTAGGGACTCTTGTCATAGTTTTATTATTATTATTATACAGTATTTATAAAGCGCCAATGGTTCGCTCAGCGCTGTACATTACAAAGGGGGACAGAACATGTGACAGAACAATACCAATACAATGCAAAACATGAGAGGATTGAGGGCCCTGCTCTTTCGAGCTTACAATCTAGGAGGGAGGGGATAGTGGTACAGGAGGAGATAGCTGTGGGGGATGGAGTGGTAGGAAGAGTGGAGGAGGTCGGCAAGTTAGCAGGGGGTGGGGTAGGCTTCCCTGAAGAGGTGGGTTTTCAGGGTGCGCCTAAAGGAGAGGAGAGTAGGTGATAATCTGATGGGTTGGGGCAGGGAGTTCCAGAGGATGGGTGACACTTTGGAGAAGTCCTGGAGGCGGGCATGGGAGGAGGAGACCAGGGAACTAGAGAAGGAGGTCTTGTGAGGAGCGGAGTGTGCATGCTGGGCGGTACTTGGATATTAGGTCAGTGATGTAGTACGGGGCAGTATGGTGGACAGCTTTGTACGTCAGTGTTAGGATTTTGAATTTGATCCGTTGCGCAATCGGAAGCCAGTGGAGGGATTGGCAGAGGGGGGGGGGTGGCGGAGATGGAGCGGTTGGAAAGGTGAATGAGTCTGGCAGCCGTATTCAGGATCGACTGAAGCGGGGATAGCCAGCGGCGAGGCAGGCCAGTGAGGAGGGAGTTGCAGTAGTCGAGTCGTGATATGACGAGGGAGTGGATGAGCTGTTTAGTGGTTTCTGGGGTTAGGAACGTACGTATTTTGGCGATGTTACGGAGGTGGAGTCTGCACGAGTTTGTTAAAGATTGGACTTGGGGCTAGAAGGATAGGTTGGAGTCCAGAATGACACCATTTTTAGACAAAATTGTGGAGAGATGTCTGGTAATCTTATTCCAGAGAGCATAAACCATGCTGCAAATCCACCAGCAAGCAACCCCTGAAACAGATTTAGGGGGAGACATTTATATTTTCCTTTTCAGATTATTAAAAAAATTATATTATTGATACAACTTGCTTTAGTTACAGTCTTGCAGTTATACTGAAAATTTAAGTTCCACATGTGTAGTGTTAATTCTTTGCTTATATTTCCATATTAAGGGTAGTCGGCTCACTGGATTTATCAACATAAATGGATGAAATGACACCATTTTGTAAATTTAAGAGTGCTTTTTTTATACATCAAATAAAAGGACAAAGGTTGTATTACCTTGTTGTGACTTCTGCAAATCCTAAAGACATGAAATATTTTTAATGAGCTGTATTGTTTATTGGATGAAATGTGGTATATTGGGAAAAACTCAGTAAAAAAAAAAACTCTTTTTCCTCCTTCTAACAAATGGTGGATTGTCATGGCTTCAAAACCACCATAGAAAATCATGCTTATTAATGCTGAGGGGAAAGTCAGGGCTGGAGGATAGATTAGTTTAGAGGTTATAGGGTTGTTTGAAAATCTACAGTCTCTGGAGGAAGAGATTATACATATTTAGTCTTAGTCTACAAAGTCTATCACTGCTGTCTTCATGAAAGGCTCTTTAGAGACCCCAAAACATCGAATTACAAGTTTTTGACAAGAAATGTCTCTGTGTTTGCATAACGTTTAGAGTACTGATGATGATTTTTGGTCCACAATCATTGCCTATGGCAGCTTCATCTGTCGCTCCCCTATTCTCCACCCTTCCTATCCTATTTCCTTTCTTACCTTTCTTCTTCTTCGCATCTTCTTGCTTCCTCTTATTATATATTTATTTTTATTTTAATGCTACACAGTTTTTTTATTCATTTAATTTGAGTTTTTATTTCTAATGACCCTGACAATTGGTTACTTACGCGCCATGTTGTATGAGTATGTAACTGGACATGCCATTTTAAAAAACAAATAAACAGTTAATAAAAGAAAAAAGGCTGTATCACATCTTCAGTACAACTGTAAAGAAATGCCTGTAGCGAATAAGGAAGAATGGAAATAGCGCAGGGCATACATGACTAGGCCCAGAGTGGTGTAGGGAACGGAAAGAGTTAAAGTTAGCTCCAGGGGGTGGGAAATTGATTGGGGAATTATCGGATTGGCGGATGTGGAGTGTAGGAGGGGTCTGTGGCACCTTAGGGTGGGGGGTTCTGTGGAAGGGGCGTCAGTGGAGCTGGACGTGAGCAAGGACCAGAGCTTCCCTCCCGCCCTCCCTGTTTGGTTGGGTATCGGGTCTCGTCCGGGGGGAGGTAAGGAATACAAAAAAAAAAAAAAAAAAGGTAGAAAAGGGGGTTTTCTGTTGGTTCGCGGGCGGTTGTTGGTCTTTGGAGGCGGTTCTCATCTTGGAAGGTAAAACAATGGTGTGGGACCCCATCCGTGGTATGGGGGGCCCGGTGGATATTCCCAGTTAACCAAGGTTTAACTGGAAGGTGGTGGTGCTGCACTGCGGACGGTATGGTTATCTCCGAGCTGGTTGGTTGCGGCTGGAGGCCTAGTATATAGGGTTGTCCGCAGGTGCATTTTGGATCGTTTGTGGGTGCCTTTGAAGACCAACAACAATTCTTTGGTTTCCGTTAAGGAACGGTTGATGTATGTAAAATGTGAAGTTGTTAATAAAAGGCCATGTTGGCCATTTACTCCAAAATGGTGTCATGTTTTTTGTAAAGTTTATTTGGTTAAGGGGGTGGGGAGTGGTATGGATAGGTAATGGTGGAAGTAGGAGTGGACAAGCCTATCTATGGTGCATTAGTCATGTACCTGGTGGTAGAACCTGAAGTGCAGAGGAAAGCCTCCCTTGCAGCTCTTGCTCAGGGGCCCTGGTAGAGTAACAGGGAGCTCCAGAGCACAGAGTTGCATGAGTGCCTGGTAGGACTTCTGCGGATGGATTTTGACATGCATCAGGAATGCAGGAGCAGCTGGTGGGTGGGACACTGGCAGAAGTGCAGAGGCAGATGGCCACGAGCAGGGCTAACAGGGATTATGCACCTGCTCATAGATATGCACATTCCCTGACAACAAAATAATAAGGGGTGGGGCAAAGGTGCCCCATATTTCCTTGTAATAATGCATCATTTGTTACTTAAAATTACGTATCTGATGCTGAAACTTTATGAGCTCAGCCTGCAACACAGAAACTGGGAGTGCTAAGAAAGTATACAAAATTCAGGGAAGAAAAGTCATCTTAATTGCCCCATCCATTAGTTATATGTTGTCATTCTGTAAAACATTGTTGGTGGGCCCATAAGGGTTAGGTATAATTTTAGTACATGAGCCCTGGCTTTGAAAGATGCGTTATATTTTTCCTTTATAATTTTTTTTTTTTTATTTTGCCTGACTTTTTATTTCATATATTTTGTGTTAAGATGTTTAATATTTAACATTATCTTTCTTGTCTTCTTTTTTTTAGGAATATTCATGGTTGACATATATGCAGAACCATCTATGATGGCACCAGTACAGTCAACAACTAAGGCACCAGAATCATCCAACAGCACAATAAAAATGTCCTCTACAGCACACACGTCTTCCAGTGCAACAAACTCAACAACACATGCGACTTCAAATGCAACACACACGCCTTCAAGTACAACCTCACATGCATCCACCAATACTACAACACGCCCCAACAACAACACATACTACTACACCAGTTCTACCAACAACAAAGCCTTCACCACCAACAAGTGGAAAGTACAAAGTTAAAAATGGTAATGTGACATGTATAATTGCAGACATGGGTCTGGCACTTAAACTGGAAAATTCAACAGTAATGCAAGACAAAGAAGCAAAGGTATGCCTCTTAGGATTGTGGATGTCCATGTCTTTATAAACTAAGCAGCGCTACCTGACCAGTTTCTCCTTATCTCCAGCAAAAGCCCAACTTATGTTAAACGATTATATTTTTACATGTACGAATAAAATGTGTCTCCATCCTCAACATAAGCAGACTATAATGGTTATTATATTTAGGGAATACACTAATACAAAACAATATTTACACTTCCACTCCACAAGTCCATTCATTATATGTTGAATGGTGCCCTGTGAGGACTGAAGATATCTTGTAGTGAAGGAAACTTACTGTGGGGAATTGTTTCAGATTGAGTATTTCAGCCAGAGCCGTGGATATGGTAGGTACCACCAGTCCTCCTGTACAGGGCCCAGGCCAGCAGAGAAGCCCAGGCAGCCAGGTGAATCGTATGTGGGCAAGGAGAGTGATCTCCCACTGATCACAGTGGAGTGGGCAATTACTGAAACCAATCCCCTGTATGGCTCTCTCTGCAGCAGCTTTCAGCTGCTGCAGAGAGGGCCCTACAGGAAAACAGTTACAGCAATTGCTCCACCCTGGTGCACCCATCACCCTCCCTGTACACCATACATTTCCCCCTGCTGCCCCCACCCCTGTAATGTTGCCGGCCTCTCTCCTCTCATTCCCATCAGCTGCATACAATAGGATCCTTCAGGATGGAGAGTGGGGGAAGGGTCTGGTCAATGCCCTGTCAGGTTGGCTGTATGGGGCCCTGTGGTTTCTAACCGCAATCCTGATTGCAGCTTGAGCTTCTTTTTTGTAGCATGGAGGCCCCTTTAAATTAAAAAAAATATATTGTCCGGAGTTGGACTTTAAAGAACCAAGGTCAACATTAAGGCTGCATTCACACTTGAGCATTTTGTTACTTGAAGTGCAAAGCTCAATGCTCCTAAAAAGCTCAAACATAAAAATGGTGATCAGGTGTGAACAGGCACCATAGAGAACAATTAATTTTTTAAGTTTGAGCTTTTTTTGAGCTTGGAGCTTCAAGCTACAAAACACTCAAGTGTGAATGCAGCCTAATGGAGGAGCAAAACACAGCCTACAGTAAGTACCTATTCTGGCCCCAGGGGAAGTCATTCGTGTTAGTGATTTCCTGGTAATCTTTTAATCTAAATTTTTAGTACCTAAAAGCATTACTGATCCTCTTTTACACAACTGTGGTCATTAGACTAATCCTTTCAGCTATACATTGATAAAGGGTAGAATGCAGTTCCTTAATATTTCAACATGCTGTGAGTTCTAGAGCTAAAATAAATGGGATAATGCCATATTACTGAAAATATACAATATTGGCTTTTATTATGGATTAAGGTACCCAGAAAACTAAAATGATAGTTAACTAATGTAGGCAATTTTGAATACAACAGGAAATACAGTAATCCTATTGATGGCTAGCAACAGATAGCATAGCACTGATTCTCAGGACACTGTCAACTGGCTTTGTTGGCTTTTTCAACTAATCATTTTTGTTTCCATGTTGGTTCACAAATATGCGGATTGGTTGCAGCGTGAACTCCATCCAATCCACATGACATGGGAAAAACATTAACAATCAATAGTGATGCAGCGCTGATATAATTAGCAATAAAGTGAATATTAAACCGTGAGGAAAAAGTGAATTCGGTGTTATACAGCCCGCACAAAAACACGGCACACAGTAATTTCTTTTATAACATATAATTGCTATTTAACAGATATAAATGCAGTCCACAGTATATATAGACGAATGGATGTGTTCTTAAACGACACACATGCTTCTGTGCTGGTGCAAAGTGGTAGGTGACAATCCTTAAATGGCTAGCATGCCTGCTCACCTTCCCCCTGCGACCCACAGGGGCCAAAAAGCCTGTCGGGTCACACCTTGACCCTATGCGTTATTTCCAGATGAAACACTCTCCACTCTCCAGTACTCTCTCCTTCACCATCATCAGTTATTCCCCCTGAATAGGTACCGCTGCACGTGTATTCACAATGCTCATAAGATGGTGGTAATCATGGAACAAAAGCACAAAGATCCTCCATAGTGTAACACTGTATATCAGCTTTATTTCTTAAAAAAACGCCAAGTCACAACTCACTTTTCAGCAGATAAACAACGCTTGTGACACCTCTCCTGGGTGTACTGAGGCACTCTGGTGTAGCAAGATGGCGCCAAACCCGGAAGTGCGTCACCGCGTCACTACGTCACATCTACGCGTTACGCCACGCCCCTCGTAGCTTCGTCAGGATATTGTTCTGGTCATTTCCCCTGGTATTTATAGTGGGATCTTGTTGTCAATTCGTCAGTGGTCATGTCAATCATCGCGGCCATTTTATCGGAGTCGCGATATTAGGGGACATTATACCGCGGCCATTTTTTTATAGTCTCTCATTACTGTACTAGGATTGCTTAATTTACCGCAGTACCCACCGTAACTACTAGACAGACTAGGTAACGTGTTCTCACCGGTATATGGTCTTTATTTGCACATATATGCCCAAAAAGGATATCTTTGTTGATGATAAACATTTTTCAATCTACTCTTTATTTTTGTGTGTGATGTTGCTATTCCTTGGAAATAAACCATATATCATAGTTATTTGGTATAGAAATTTGCAATGTCATAAAGATATCATAAAAAATATATAAAATAACAATTTTTATTTTTTTAAAAAAATAAAAATAAATTCTTTCTAAAAAACGTAAAAAAACGCACGACGATCAAAAACGAAATCACCAGACTGACACAGTATGCCCATGAGGGATGCACTTATCAAAACATAACAACAAAAGATAAAACATTAAAAATCACTTATGAAGCAGTTCAAATCAAATTCCACATTCAACCCTTTGGGAACTTGGGTTTGTAGAACAAATATCCACTTTGACTCCATTTTACTCAGTGTGCGGATCTTGTGGCTCCCACGCCAATGTTTTTTGTATCTCTCTATACCCCAAAACTGCAGTCCCACGGGATCCTTATTGTGGCATATTGAGAAGTGTTTGGATACGCTATGTTTAGGGAAGCCCTTTCTTATGTTCTGAACGTGTTCCCTTATCCGCTTCCAGAGAGGTCTTTTAGTGCGTCCAATGTACTGAAATCCACATTTGCACTGTAATCCATATACAACCCCCTCCGTTTTACATGTTATGAAGTCTTTGATTTTGAACTCTTCTCCGCTAACCATTGATCTAAAACTCAACCTTTTCTTATTCTGCCCTTTTACAGCTTTACATGCATAACATTTTTTGCAAGGAAAAAATCCATTTGTATCTAAGAACGTAACCTTTTTCTTTTTAACAGGTGGATTCACTATATTTTTCACTACCTTGTCACCTACATTAGGTGCCTTTCTATATACAAATCTTGGATGCTCTGATATTATTTTATTTAATGTATGATCCATTTTTAAAATAGGCCAGTGCCTTTTAAAAATTTGCTCCACCTTTCTATATTGGCTGTTAAAATCCAGGATCAGCACCGGTTCATCTGTAACGGTCCGGTCTTTGACCTTATCCTCCAAGAGTATATGTCTATCCATATTAGACACCTCTCTAATCTGGCTTTAATACGTTCCTGTTTTAATGTTTTATCTTTTGTTGTTATGTTTTTGATAAGTGCATCCCTCATGGGCATACTGTGTCAGTCTGGTGATTTCGTTTTTGATCGTCGTGTGTTTTTTTACGTTTTTTAGAAAGAATTTATTTTTATATTTTTTAAAAAAATAAAAATTGTTATTTTATATATTTTTTATGATATCTTTATGACATTGCAAATTTCTATACCAAATAACTATGATATATGGTTTATTTCCAAGGAATAGCAACATCACACACAAAAATAAAGAGTAGATTGAAAAATGTTTAATCATCAACAAAGATATCCTTTTTGGGCATATATGTGCAAATAAAGACCATATACCGGTTGGGTGAGAACACGTTACCTAGTCTGTCTAGTAGTTACGGTGGGTACTGCGGTAAATTAAGCAATCCTAGTACAGTAATGAGAGACTATAAAAAAATGGCCGCGGTATAATGTCCCTAATATCGCGACTCCGATAAAATGGGCCGCGATGATTGACATGACCACTGACGAATTGACAACAAGATCCCACTATAAATACCAGGGGAAATGACCAGAACAATATCCTGACGAAGCTACGAGGGGCGTGGCGTAACGCGTAGATGTGACGTAGTGACGCGCGGGGCGGTGACGCACTTCCGGGTTTGGCGCCATCTTGCTACACCAGAGTGCCTCAGTACACCCAGGAGAGGTGTCACAAGCGTTGTTTATCTGCTGAAAAGTGAGTTGTGACTTGGCGTTTTTTAAGAAATAAAGCTGATATACAGTGTTACACTATGGAGGATCTTTGTGCTTTTGTTCCATGATTACCACCATCTTATGAGCATTGTGAATACACGTGCAGCAGCGGTACCTATTCAGGGGGATATACTGATGGTGAAGGAGAGAGTACTGGAGAGTGGAGAGTGTTTCATCTGGAAATAACGCATAGGGTCAAGGTGTGACCCGACAGGCTTTTTGGCCCTGTGGGTCGCAGGGGGAAGGTGAGCAGGCATGCTAGCCATTTAAGGATTGTCACCTACCACTTTGCACCAGCACAGAAGCATGTGTGTCGTTTTAAGAACACATCCATTCGTCTATATATACTGTGGACTGCATTTATATCTGTTAAATAGCAATTATATGTTATAAAAGAAATTACTGTGTGCCGTGTTTTGTGCGGGCTGTATAACACCGAATTCACTTTTTCCTCACGGTTTAATATTCACTTTATTGCTAATTATATCAGCGCTGCATCACTATTGATTGTTTTATACCTTTATGTCCATTTAAAAGGTGAGGATTGGATGTCGGCAGCTGTTGTTCTTCTATTATATTTTAGACTTAGCAGCGCAGGTGGACCTATTACTCATGGGAAAAACATTACTTCCTATGGTTCCTGTTCACATATGTCGGTGCACTGGCGGTGCGGATTCAGTGCACTTTGAAAAAAAAGTCCTGTCTCATTTCTGAGCAGTGCAGTCCGGTTTAGGTGCGGATTACAAGCTATTGACTTCTATGGGTACCGTTTCTAAACCGCACTTGTGTGAACAGGATAATCCTGAGAGCTAATCCTGTCCTGAACCTGATGTAAACCTGACATGAACCGGTGAACAACTACTGTATCAGTTATCTGTGAAACCTGAGCTTCTATCTACACCACACATGTGTGAATCAGCTCTAAGGGAATCTGCACACTCATCTTCATTTCATTAAACAGAGTCAGCAAAATAATAGTGAATGCTCATGTAGTAATTGTTTACAGAGAAAGCACAGTCTTTTCATGTTGAGTTATTATTAGTGTGTTTACCTTTGTAGATTATGCAGTTAAGTCAAGATGTCATCCACAAAAAGAAGTGTTCAGTTGATCATAACCATTGTGTAGCATTGCCAGGCAAGATTGAAACAGAAAGCAAAACCTGTGTAGGTAATAAGCAAATACGCTGTGCCTGGATACACAATTAATAATTAAAAACTTTCCATATGTAGTGCTACACCTGTAGGAGGTGCTATGTTTAGACAGGTTCTTTCATGAACAGAAGCAGACCGACAACTCATGGGGCTCCCAGACAATATGAGATCATGGAGACCCCAGGTTTAATTATGGCCACCGCGCAGCAGCCATCTTTATGATGCAACATTATTGTGGCAGGCATCACCAAGCTCAGTGACATGCAGAATGGCAGGAGACTTAAAGGTACCAATAAAGGTACCAAGAGCCTCTCATGGGTAGGGCATCATGTGCCCCTGGGAAAGGTAATGCACTGGGGCGCCTACCAGGGAGATGGTGACCAGTAGGGTGCATAGCACACTGTGGCACATAGTCTGTGTTGCAAGATTGTGCCACATATTGGGCTTGGATTTTTAGTCTGATTCAGAAATTTTAGTCTGATTTGTTACAAATTGTTCATTTTAATTTTTAATTAACTTTAATTTAATAATGTTTTATATTTTTTCACAACGCTGTTGGGAAGGGGGGCTTTGTTGAGATATCGGGGGTCTAAGCAGACCCCTGAAGTCTCACTTTGAGACACAGAGAAAGGAACTGAGGAAATATTCCCCAGTCCCTTTTTCTGTAGCTTCGGCTGCACTGCAGATGAATGAACATGAGACAGACCCTCCTGTCCATTCATAAACTGAAGCATAGTAAACACAGTTTACTATCCTTCAGTTTTAAATGTATACAGTGAGTGATCAGTACTGATCACTCACTGTGTTCACTTAGCCAGCAGCTGCTGCCAGCGGGAGAGGGCAAGGGGAAGCCAGAAGAGAGGAGGTCCAGGCAGCGAGAGAAATCTGGATCAGTGCAGCGGGTGGGGGAAATAACTGGAGCCAATCTTTTGTTGCTCTCACTGCAGCAGCTAGAACAGGGGATGTCGGTATGCAGCTGCTGTAGTGACAGCTACAAAAGATCACTTGAAGTTATCTCCCCCAACCTGCTGCACTGATCACCTGCTCTATCCACACACAATTCCCCTGGTGGGGGGGGGACGGGGGACTGCAGGGGCCCTCCCATGCATTTGAGGGCCTGTGTGCAAAAAGACAGACTCATTTGGCCCCCTACTAGGGAGGCAGCCAGGAACACAGCAACAACAGTTCATTCACTTTGGCTCATTATTCAGTCTAGGTGTTGTCTTTTGGAAGTTTATTTGCTAGTAGAAACTTGGGAAGGGATATGGGGTGATTCAGGATACTCCTCTATTGCTAGTAGAGGACACTCCTTACTTAGCAGCAGTAGCATTAGTGTAGGTAGAATGGAACACTCCACAGTTCACAGCCAGTTTCCTAATCTGAGAACTGGTGGTAACTCTTTAAGAATTTGACGCTGCCATAGTGACGGATGCTTAAAGTGGCACGCCAGTACTCAGAGCGGCCAGGGCCTGTGTGCTGTAAAGCTGTCATGTATGTGATAACTTGGAATAATAGAAAAGAAGGATGTCCAAAATAATGCACTTTTGATGGTAGATTAAAAGGCATTTATTGAGAGTAACGAAAAGTACATCAAGCCAATGCGTTTTGGGAGAAAAGACTCTCCCTTTTTCAGGGATAATAAACAAATACCAAAAGAACACAGTATGTATATTTAAGAAAAACCATATATATATATATATATATATATATATATATATATATATATATACACATATATATAGCCAAAAGTATTGGGACGCTGCTTTTACACACACATGAACTTTAATGGCATCTCAGTCTTAGTCCGTAGGGTTCAATATTGAATTAGCCTGCCCTTTGCAGCTATAACAGCTTCAACTCTTCTGGGAAGGCTGTCCACAAGGTTTAGGAGTGTGTCTATGGGAATGTTTGACTATTCTTCTAGAAGCGCATTTGTGAGGTCAGGCACTGATGTCAGACGAGACGGTCGCAGTCTCCGCTCTAATTCATCCCAAAGGTGTTCTATATGTTTGAGGTCAGGACTCTGTGCATGTTAGTCAAGTTCCTCCACCCCAAACTCGCTCATCCATGTCTTTATGGACCTTGCTTTGTGCACTGGTGTACAGTCATGTTTGCATAGGAAGGGACCAAACTGTTCCCATAAAGTTGGGAGCATGAAATCGTCCAAAATGTCTTGGTATGCTTACACCTTAAGAGTTCCCTTCACTGGAACTAAGGGGCCAAGCCCAACCCCTGACAACAACCTCACACAATAATCCCCTCTCCACCAAACTTTACACCTGGCACAATTACGTCACGTAAGTACTGTTCACCTGGCAACTGCCAAACCCAGACACATCCATTGGATTGCCAGACAGAGAAGCGTGATTCGTCACTCCAGAGAACTCGTCTTCACTGCTCTAGAGTCCAGTGGTGGCATGTTTTACACCACTGCATCCGGCGCTTGCACTTGGTGATGTAAGGCTTAGATGCTGCTGCTCGGCCATGGAAACCCATTCCATGAAGCTCTCTGCACTGTTGTGCTAATCTGAAGACCACACGAAGTTTGGAGGCCTTTAGCTATTGACTCTGCAGTCAGTTGGTAACTTGTGTGCACTGTGCGCTTCAGCATGCGTTGACCCCGCTCTGTCATTTTACATGGCCTACCACTTAATTGCTGAGTTGCTGCTGTTCCCAGTTGCTTCCACTTTGTTATAATACGACTAACAGTTGACAAGGAAATATTTAGTAGCAAGGAAATTTCACAGATGGACTTATTGAACAGGTGGCAACCTATCACGGTACCATGCTTGAATTCACTGAGCTCCCATTCTTTCACAAATGTTAGTAGAAGCAGTCTGCATGTCTAGGTGCTTTATTTTATACACTTGTGGCCATGGAGGTGATTGGAACACCTGAATTCAATGATTTGGAGGGGGGTCCCAATACTTTTGTCAATATAGTGTATATATGTATATACTGTATATATGTATATTCTATAAAATGAGAATATTATGTTGATTATGTAGAGGCAAAATTACATCTTACAAATATGTCTTAAAATACAAAACAATTAGAAAAAAAAAAAAAAAAAAAAAAAAAAATATATATATATATATATATATATATATATATATATATATATATATTTCAAAAATATATATAAATTAAGAGTTCCTGATCTTGATCCAATAATCAGAATATAAATAATCAAAATAGAAATAAAATCAATAGTAATGATAATAATGGCAATAGTAATTGAGCTGAGAGGAAAGACTGGCGTGGGAATTTTTTCCCATTTATTAACGTGCAGCAACAGGTTAGGCCATAATTATTTTTTGCTTCACATTCTCCCATGGCTTTACCTTACCTAGCATCATCTATGTCACAGTAATATCTTTACACTGATTTATATCCCTTAAAACCCAACCTTTTAGTGCAATCCACACAAATTTCTATTGCCGAGTCTTTCAGGCTCGATGATCACTATTAATAGTATCACTATTACTATTCAAAATATTTTTATTTTATTTTATTTTTATCAGGTTTTTTTTTTTTTTTTTCAGATTTTCTCTCAGCTCAATGATTACAATTGCTATTGCCATTATCATCATTACTATTGATTTTATTTCTATTTTGATTATTTCTATTCTGATTATTTTGATCATGATCAGGAACTCTTGACTTACAGTATATATATTGTTTTGTAATTTAATTTTTTTTTTCTGTAGTTTTAAGACATATTTTAACTTGGTATTTTTGCATCTACATAATTGACATAATGTTATATATATATATATATATATATATATATATATATATATATATATATAGTTTTTCTTGTTTGTTTTGTATACATAGTCGGTTTTTCTTCTTTCTCGTATATTTGTTTCTCTGTATATTTTTCTATTTAATAGCCCTCAAGAAGGGAGAGTCTTTTCTCCCGAAACACATTGGCGTGATGTACTTGTCATTACTCTCAGTAACTGTCTCACAATCTACCATCAAGAGTGCATTCTTTTGGACATTGGGCGCTCCTTCTTTTCCTTTATTCCAAGTATACGTGTGGAAACGACATCAAGGCCGTACCAGAAAGGCAGCAGCCCAAACCCTAAGAGGGTTTACTGCCAATATCCATAATTGGGTACAACTGACTGGAGAGACATCTCCCTATCCACCCATGCAACCACCCACCTACGACCAGTGACTGATCCAGTCAGTCCAACGCAGGCTGCAGCACAAACAAGATGTAAGTGATAGGTTACTGCACAGTGTTGTACCTCTGGCCATATTCAGCTGTCAGGTGGAAAATCCCCTGTCTAAATGTAAAGAGGATACAGGTAATGTCATTCCCCAAATATGGGCAATGGCCATATTTGGGAAATGACCTGTCACTGGGTGGGTAGAGCCTGATGGAGACCTGAGATACTAGTTCCTCATCATGTCCACTTCATTTTTTATTGATTGTGCACTGAGGTGGGTGGATTTGAAAGTTGCTATTGCACTGAATAGTGGCTATGAATCCACCCATTCCCATGCACTGTCAATCAAAAGTGAAGCCGACCTGATGAGGATCTGGTCTCTCAGTTCTCCATCAGGCTCCACCACCCCAGTACAGAAATCCCCAGTTATGTGCCTGTCAATGTGACAGCTGAAATGGCAGGATAGGGAGGACGGGAGTGAGTGAAAGGCATTAGTGTCCAGTGTGGACAATCCTTGTCAGTGTGGACACTCCTTGTCCAGTAGAGAAATGAACAGATTCATGAACCAATCTGTGACATGTTCATGTATTAGATGCAAGCAACGATGAAATTCTAAAGGATGTATAAATGTTTAAAGAAAAAAACATTTAAAGCCTGTACATTGCTAATAAAAATGAATGTGGTAACATTTTAGTAGTTTACAGAAGCTCTCATGCTGCTTTTCCACAGGGCAAATGGTATTTTAATGTGAACCCGGCAAAGACTAAACAAAATGGCACTTGTAATGAATCCAAAGCAACTCTTTCCTTGGGATTTCCAGAAGGATCTATACTTTTTGTTTTTGTCAAGGTATGTTTAGTTTGCATTTAACACCATTTATTCCAGTAATGCAGATATTAAATATAATTAAAGTACATTTGCCAAGAGAATAACATAGGACTGCCACTGCTAACCTGAAAACACTACTTACCTGGATGCTATGCTGACCTTCAGATGGAGGGTTCAGCAGTGGCAGTTTTCTTGTTTCTCTGCAGTGAGGTTTCCTTTAAGCATTTTTTTTTTACACCTAGAACCAGCATGGACCTGTATAATATCATCCTCTAATCTCCAGAACAGAGGAAACCAGCTTGCAAAATGGTGGGGTCCCATTTGCACAGTGTTGTAATTTTAACTTCCAAATGTGCCTACAGTAGCAGAAAACACAGAGATGAACTCATCCCAGTGCTGCCACTCCTTTGTTGTCCAACCACAGGCTGAAGAAGGTCCTGATCCAGGCTGTATTGTCTAAATGCAATGTACCCTGCCGAGAGGACAATGACTTGGATGTGCTGCCTGGAAGTGTATTTAAACCATTTGCCATAAATCCCGTTTAACCAAGTGGACTATTAGATTAATCTGGTTCTCTACTCAGTATCCTTCTCTTAACTACTTGAGGAAATAAATTAGGTGAAAATGCTACAGTTTGTCAAGATAAATGATATTGCTCAGGACAATGCAATGTGATGTGCTTGCAATCTTGCTATAAAATTCATCTAGCCCAGAGGAGTCAATTACCTAGCACAGGTCTCTCCCTACTTGCACATCATAGCATTCTCTTCTTATACCTTTTTGATGCAAGGAATGACAAGGAATGCTTTTAAAGGTAAATAACATACATAAAACACATTTAAGAGGAATGGCAGCCACTTTACTGCTGGTCCCGTTCCCTTTGCCAACACTGCCATTTTTTATGGTCCATTGCATGCGCAGATGTGCCAAATGGCTCTGTCTGGCCTTTGGGACCTGACAGAGCCTTGCGATACATTTGTGCACAGAATGAAGTATACTGCGACACGTGCGCACATGGAACAGAGGTCTTGTACCTCCTTAATTGTGCTGTCTTCTTTCATGGGCACAGGCAAACCTGCGCATGCGTAGACCTGACAAAGATATCTGCTGGGTACTGAAGTCCAGGCAGAGTGCTTCAATATATCTGTGTATGCATACATCAGGCACAACATCATTCTTGCCTAGGCGATAAAGGAGAAAGTGCTGCCCCTGCAACACAAAAAAGAAAAAAGCAATAAAACAAATCCAGGTGTGGGAGAGGGAGCAGGGCCAGATCTAGCCTGTTTAATGTGGGGGTGCAGAGGATGGAAGGTCAGCAGGGCAGTATACAGGGGTCGACAGGGCAGAGGACAGGGCAAGCATTTTGTATGGCAGTGTACAGAGGCTATTAGTTTGTAGGGCAGTGTACAGAGGCTATCAGTTTGTAGGGCAGTGTACAGAGGCTATTAGTTTGTACGGCAGTGTACAGAGGCTATCGGTTTGTAGGGCAGTGTACAGAGGCTATCAGTTTGTAGGGCAGTGTACAGAGGCTATCAGTTTGTAGGGCGGTTTACAGAGGCTATCAGTTTGTAGGGCAGTGTACAGAGGCTATTAGTTTGTAGGGCAGTGTACAGAGGCTATTAGTTTGTAGGGCAGTGTACAGAGGCTATCAGTTTGTAGGGCGGTGTACAGAGTCTATCAGTTTGTAGGGCAGTGTACAGAGTCTATTAGTTTGTAGGGCAGTGTACAGAGTCTATTAGTTTGTAGGGCAGTGTACAGAGGCTATTAGTTTGTAGGGCGGTGTAGAAGAGGCTGTTAGTTTGTAGGGCAGTGTACAGAGGCTATCAGTTTGTAGGGCAGTGTACAGAGGCTATCAGTTTGTAGGGCAGTGTACAGAGGCTATTAGTTTGTAGGGCAGTGTACAGAGGCTATAGTTTGTAGGGCGGTGTACAGAGTCTATCAGTTTGTAGGGCAGTGTACAGAGTCTTAGTTTGTAGGGCAGTGTACAGAGTCTATTAGTTTGTAGGGCAGTGTACAGAGGCTATTAGTTTGTAGGGCGGTGTAGAAGAGGCTGTTAGTTTGTAGGGCAGTGTACAGAGGCTATCAGTTTGTAGGGCAGTGTACAGAGGCTATTAGTTTGTAGGGCAGTGTACAGAGGCTATTAGTTTGTAGGGCAGTGTACAGAGGCTATTAGTTTGTAGGGCGGTGTAGAAGAGGCTGTTAGTTTGTAGGGCAGTGTACAGAGGCTATCAGTTTGTAGGGCAGTGTACAGAGGCTATTAGTTTGTAGGGCGGTGTAGAAGAGGCTGTTAGTTTGTAGGGCAGTGTACAGAGGCTATTAGTTTGTAGGGCGGTGTAGAAGAGGCTGTTAGTTTGTAGGGCAGTGTACAGAGTCTATTAGTTTGTAGGGCAGTGTACAGAGTCTATTAGTATGTAAGGCAGTGTATAGAGGCTATTAGTTTGTAGGGCAGTGTACAGAGGCTATCAGTTTGTAGGGCAGTGTACAGAGTCTATTAGTTTGTAGGGCAGTGTACAGAGTCTATAAGTATGTAAGGCAGTGTTCAGAGGCTATTAGTTTGTAGGGCAGTGTACAGAGGCTATCAGTTTGTAGGGCACTGTACAGAGGCTATCAGTTTGTAGGGCACTGTACAGAGGCTATTAGTTTGTGGGGCAGTGTACAGAGGCTATCAGTTTGTAGGGCACTGTACAGAGTCTATTAGTTTGTAGGGCAGTGTACAGAGGCTATTAGTTTGTAGGGCGATGTACAGAGGCTATTAGTTTGTAGGGCGATGTACAGAGGCTATTAGTTTGTAGGGCAGTGTACAGAGGCTATTAGTTTGTAGGGCGGTGTAGAAGAGGCTGTTAGTTTGTAGGGCAGTGTACAGAGGCTATCAGTTTGTAGGGCAGTGTACAGAGGCTATTAGTTTGTAAGGCTGTGTACAGAGGCTATCAGTTTGTAGGGCAGTGTACAGAGGCTATTAGTTTGTAGGGCGGTGTAGAAGAGGCTATTAGTTTGTAGGGCAGTGTACAGAGGCTATTAGTTTGTAGGGCAGTGTACAGAGGCTATTAGTTTGTAAGGCAGTGTACAGAGGGTCAGAAGGGTGGAGAACTGGGGTCAGTAGTAAGTGAGGCGAGGGAGGGGAATGGATGCCCTTCTATATTTTTTTTTTTTGCCGGATCAGAGGTAGGTTGGTGTAAACAGACAGCTCATTTACATACACTGCTCCATAGAGGAGAATGGAGGGTCCAATCAGGTCTGCCTGAAAAATGGGCAGGAGAACCTGATTGGACCACTCATATGAAAAATGATCCACATAGATTGCTTTTCAGAGCATTGCCTAGCGTGAACCTGAACTAATAACAGTCACTGTAATGCTACCAATATTGTTTTCCTTTTAACATGGTGACATAAAGAGCATTCTCTCCATTTACCACCAATGTAAAGGTCCTTCTTCAAGATGACCACCAGTATAATGGGGCCTTTCTCCAAGTGATCAACAGTGTAAGGGGTCCCTTCTCCTATTGACCACCAACGTGAGGCAGTCCTTCTTTCACTGACCACCAATGTAAGGGACCATTTCACTGGTGAAAAGGGTAGCGGGGCACTACAATTTTCACTGTCAACATTTCTTTAATGTTTTTTGAATATGTTTCCTTTATTATTATAATAATTATTATAATAATTAATGTTGTCCTATTGCAGATTTCTCAGCCAGGGTTCCTTGGAGCCAGGGATTGCTAGGGGTTCTTTGAGCAATGAGCAATTTCTGCTTCTCAGGAAAGTTACCACTGAAACCAAGGATCTTTAAGCTATCGGAAAAGGGGAATTCTTCCTATTCACCACAAATGTATAGGGGCATTCTTTCCACCATAGGTGTGCACACAGGGTGTGGCGGATGTGCCAGGGCACATCCTAATCACCCCGTGTACTTTAGCATTATCACTCCTTTGTTTGTGCTGGGAGCACGCTCTACAACGCACTCCAAGCACAGAGACCAGGCTCCTACTGATCGTCTATCACAGTGATCAGTCACTGTGCAGCCTGCCCCTGTGCTTTCATTCTCTTCTGAATGGAGAGGAAGATACATTTGGATCTTTCTTTCCTTGCAGGAGAGAAAGATGTAAGCAAACAAAAGTGTGTACAAAAAATAATATAAAAAAAGTTTTGATCTAGGTCAGTGCCAGGGTGAGTGACAAGATCGAGGTAAGGGTCAAAGGTCAGGGTCAGGATATATTGGGTAGGGTTTTCTAAAAAAGCATTTTTAAATTAGTATCAGTTAGTGTTTTAGATATGATAAAAAAAACAAAACAAAATGAGCACTATAGTTTCTAGGCCCTACTATGGGTACAAACAACATATACATATTGTATGTGGTATCACTGTGATTGTCAGAAGCAGGAGAATTTATTTTGGGTTGATCTTTGGTGGTAAGGTATGGCAGTAGCAAGAAATCTACAGCCAAACTCACAAAAATTGGGCCAGTTTCCTTTGATAATAATAAAAAATAAATCATGAGATACACTATATTGCCTAAAGTGTTGGGACACCTGCCTTTACATGCACATGAACTTTAATGGCATCCTAATCTTAGTCCGTAGGCTTTTACAGAAAAGATAGGGTAAATCTAAGGGAACAATAGTAGTGATAATCTCATGAATAGGCCAGTGGCACTAAGTGTGGGACAAGTACATCGATATGCTTACTTGTGACTTGTGAGCCTCTCACACTTCTTGGTTGTCGTCAAATTTAAGCAATATGCAGCAATTCTCAGGTGAACATTTCTCAATTTTCTGGTTTTGAAATGCTACCAGCTGGCTGTTAACCATTAACCTAACGTTGCTGATAAGTGCTCTCATTTCCTTCATTAAGTTACCACTTCACTTTTTGGATAGTCACATGCCTCTGGCTTCAGTCATACAGAAGGAATTTCAGTAATGAATACTAAACAGAAATCTAGTTAAAAAATAAACATATGCAAATCACAGTTT